CTTGGATTTGTGTGTAAAGTTTTGAAAAAAAAAAGAGAGGCACAGTTTTGAAAATGTGTGTAAGCAGTTGGGGAAGAAAAACTGTAATAACTAGATTAAAAAAAGTTTGAAAGACAAATGTATGCTGGCTTGTCTAAAAGTCTTGTTTAAAAACGTAAATGGTTTGGTCAGTTAGATGCTCTCGATGTTTGCTAAAGTGTTGCTGGTTGGTTGCTAGGCTCTTGCTATGCAGTTGCTGGGGTGTTGCTAGAGTATATGTTGATAGAGTTTGTTCTGGGTGATTACAGACATTCCCACCTCTGTTAATAACAGAAAATCAAACAATGTTTTCAAACATTATTATTGTATTTCTTTCTAATGTTAGGAAATTCAAAAGTGTTTGTTGCTCTTAAACTTGCACTAAACGTGATTATACCATCTAAGTAGTCTATGTCATTTTAATAGAACCGCATGTCTTTAGTGAGACAAGCTCAGAAACATTTATAACCTGATGAAGTTTTTTATATTGTGCATTGACTTGGTGCCATGATGGATATTGAAATGTTGTTATTTATTTTTCATTTTAAACAGTATAGATGATTACTTAATGGTAATACAATATCTGTGAACACAACTGTGTATGTCAGACCATAAATCCCCAGAAACTATGCATGGGGGCTTGCTTTGGTGTTGCCACCCCTCACAGACCCCATGCCACCCTAAAAATTATTCAGAACACACAATTTCATAACATGTGTTTCACCCTAAATGAAGCGAAGTGCATCCACCTGAACGGAAGCTACGTTTGTGGGTGTAGGAAGTGGTTGCCAGGGCTTAATGGTAAAATTAATTAATGCTACTTAAAGAGAGAGTTCACACGAAATGAACATTGTCAACATAATGAAGATTTTGTGAGAAATATCTCCGGTTTAATTGTTGTTTACAGCGGTAACCAAGGAAACACTATCATTGCTGTTCATAAGTGCAGCGCTGCTTTGTTTACAGCGGTAACCAAGGAAACACTGTATCATTGCTGTTCATAAGTGCAGCGCTGCTTTGTTTACAGCGGTAACCAAGGAAACACTGTATCATTGCTGTTCATAAGTGCAGCGCTGCTTTGTTTACAGCGGTAACCAAGGAAACACTGTATCATTGCTGTTCATAAGTGTATTGTAATTTACATTATATTTAAATTTTGTAATTTAGCAGACACTTTTATCCAAAGCGACTTACAAACGAGGACAATAGTAGCAATCAAAACCAACAAAAGAGCAATAATATGCAAGTGCTGCTATATTAGTATATTATTATAGTGTTATACTTCAATTTCACAAAGAAACGTGCAGCATTTTGTCCAAGCAATAATAAAAGGACACATTTAATTTATAATTTGTCTTAAATCTCATTTTGTTAAAACAATCGTGAATCGAATCGTGAGTTGAGTGAATCGTTACATCTCTACCCAGCATTAACTATTTCAAGTCTGAAAATCCCTACAAACCGTGTTTATTCTGATTGCATGTGAACCTGTGTTCAATGTTGTCTAGCTCATTCTCTCTGAATGATCATTTTGATTGAACACACATCTCTGACATCAACAACAAAACATGTGGTTAGTGTTTCAGTATTGCATGTGCTGTCCGTGACCAATCAGAACTGCTGTGGAGCGGAGCGCGTGTGTCGATGCTAGACTCCTGATGCAGCATGAGCTCAGGTGATCTCTTCGCCGGCTCCACCACAGCGGCTATAAACTCATCTGCTTTAGAGGAGAACGCATATGCAGCGCTCTTGCAGCTGAAAGCGTAGTATTTCTCCTTGTGCTTTAGGACGCCGATGTTTGGATTACCTGAGAAAAAGAGATGAGACAGAGATGAGATAATATATATACCCTTATACTGCAGAGCCACGTCCTCAAAGTGTTTCGGTTTCGGTTTCATTTTCAAGGACTTTTAGTTTGCTTTCCTCTGTTCCTGTTTGATCTTTAGTTGCTATGACAGTTCATTAATTATCTCTCACCTGTTTGCCGTTGAGGTCGTTATCACTGTGTATTTAAGCTCCTCTCGTGTTGCAGTTCTTTGTCCGGTATTGTTTGTGCTTTAAGGTTGTGTTGCGTTCGATTCTTCGGTCTCCAGTGTATTCATGTTGGATTTATTAGTAAAGAGTATTTGTTGGAATTCTTCTACATTCTGCGCTTGATTTACAGCAAAACCGTTACATTGCAATTCTGAGTTTATATCTAACAATTCCACGGGAAAAAAATGCAGTTTCAGGAACAGGCTTCCATAGATTACAGATCAATCATATAATGAACTTTCAAACCAATAAGTGCAATATCTCTCTACACTATTCCTTCCTCATATAAACATCTTTTCTGTGAATTTGCTGTCTTTCACTGGGGTTTGTAAGGCCCTGCTCTTCGTAATGATACTTTGGAATAATATTGTAAAATGCACTATAAATTCCTTAAAATTGAAAAATTATCACTCCGATAGCACACGTACGTCTGCAAGATCTCTTCATCTGGAAAGCATCTGCTGTGCACAAACGTCTGATAGACATCTTTAAGATGTCAGTTTTACATACACTCTAAATCATAAACATCTTAAAGACATCTTCTAATAGGAAACGTTCCTGAAGTGAAGGCTGTACATTATGATTCTAATACAAAATAAAATACAATCTTGGTGGCACTTTATTTTACAGTGCTGTCCTGCATGCGCATACTGTGTAGTTATTATATTAATTACAATGAGGTAATAACTAAATACTAACCCCAAACCTAACCCATGCAGTTACCTTATATTATGCAACATTTTCTTTAGCGAAGTATACTGTAAGTACATGTACTGTAAAATAAAGAGCCGCTGCAGCAAACACACATCACATACAACATCATGCTGTCAGCTTAAAATAGCATGCAGTATTTTGTGGTTCATGTTGTGCTGGCTGTTATGACAGTCATCTTGTGCTGACACCTAGTGTCATGAACGCAGCATCACACACCATCAAGAACACAACAGCTCTAGTAGCACTCATGATTAATTACACAAGAAGAATTACTACAGTATTCATTATTGCCTGGGCAATGGATAATCTATTTATGAGTGAACTGAGCAAGTGTTATGCATTTATATATTTATATTATATTATATTTAGACATTTAGCAGACGCTTTTATCCAAAGCGACTTACAAATGAGGACAATGGAAGCAATCAAAACCAACAAAACAGCAATAATATGCAAGTGCTATAACAAGTCTATAAAGTAATGCATTTAATCTGATTGTATATATAATCGGTATAAATATAATGATATAGATATACAGTATGCATGGTCAAAAGTTTCATCATAAAGATTTTTTAATGTTTTTGAAAGAAGTCTCTTCTGCTCACTAAGGCTGCATTTCTTTGATCAAATAATATACAGTAAAAACACTAATATTGTGAAATATTATTACTATTCCAAATAGCTGTTTTCTATGTGAATATCTGTTAAAATGTAATTAACTGCATTACTTTTTCCTTCACGCCCCACAGAAGTTGTAATTGTGTATCTTCCCCATAAAATTCTTCTACAATGTTACTAACAACATCATTTGACCTCATCACTGGACGCTGATTGATAGTGACTTTTAAGTAAAAGTGTTGTAGTAATTGTCCTGTGTAGCTTGAAGTTAATTGTAGCTATAATTTCTCTGTTACCCATATATGATTATATTTCATGTAGTATTTTATCAAAAGAATGTTCATAAGATTTTTAATTATAGTAATATAATTTATATGGGGATCAGAGGGATGTGGGTGTAATGCCAGAGTTAAAGTAATGCCACAACTTTTTCAAGTCAGTGGTAATAAATCATTGTGTAACTGAACATTCAGTGAGAGATTGTAAATAAATTGCATCATAAAGCTACTGCATCTGTTAGTGATGATGGGAAGAAAAGCTTCAACTGAACACACTTCTCAGGTTCACATTTATTTTATGACGTTAAAAAAAAAGACAATATAAATATAATGACATCAGCCCAAGAGAAGAATGTGAGAGCCTGAACGATGGCCTGCTGAGAGTTAGTTTGATCTGATAATCATTCATTATTATTATACACAAAGAACAAGCTCCTTTTCTGTGCGGCTCTCTCATTTGCATATGAAATAAACATGTTTATAATCTGCAGTATTTATAGTCCCTTTATTAATCTGCATGTTCATCCAATTTTACAATAAACATGTCTTTATAACTACAAATATTAATATTTCAATAAAAATTATCATTTGGTATTTATGTACAATTAAAATAGATATATAAAATATAATATAATATAAAACGTGAATTCCTTCAATATAATATATATTTTTCTGCATCATTGTTGATAAGTACACACACACACTCAAATATTTGCAATGTTTCATCAGAACATCACTGACGCACACAGCAGTCCTGAACAAACTCTTGTTTTCATTCCCTTCTAATGAAATCTGGCTTCTGCACAAGGGGTCGGGGTTTGACAATCACACTTATCTCACTATATTATACTAGATGTTTTACCAGATTTCTGAAGGGCTTTTGTGTGAAATACTTTTTTTTTTATAGCTGAATAATGGATGTTGCAGGGTAGCATCTCCAGCTCAGGTGATTGGCTTAAATTTGTGAGCCTGGAGCACAAAAGCAGTCTTAAGTCGCTGGGGTATATTTGTAGCAATAACCAACAATACATTGTATGGGTCAAAATTATTGATTTTTCTTTAATGCCAAAAATCATTAGGATATTAAGTAAAGATCATGTTCCATGAAGATATTTTGTAAATTTCCTACCGTAAATATATCAAAACTTAATTTTTGATTAGTAATATGCATTGCTTAGAACTTCATTTGGACAACTTTAAAGATGATTTTCTCAATATTTTGATTTTTTTGCACCCTCAGATTCCAGATTTTCAAATAGTTGTATCTCGGCCAAATATTGTCCTATCCTAACAAACCATATGTCAATGGAAAGATTATTTATTCAGCTTTTTGAAATTTTGAAAAATTGACACTTATGACTGGTTTTGTGCTCCAGGGTCACACATCACTTTCAGAACCGAGTGCCCATGAAACAAAGTTTATTTCCCTTGAGCAGCTTCCAGGATCTGCACGTCTGGGGCTTTTGAGGCAAAGCGATTAACTGTGATTGAACACAGAAGCTAAAGAACTGAGCTTTGTTCATGTTCACAGTGAAAGAGAGTTGAAGCAGAAAACAAAGTCCACTGAAAATCCTTCATTATATCGTTTCATTTGTAAACCTTAAAACTGAACACACTAGTGTGTAGCAAAATGCTCTTCATATTCTGTCAGGAGTCTGAAGCAGCAGCGGCAGCATTATTCCTCTCCTCTGTCAGTCCGGGCTGGAGTGGATGACGAGGCCCCAGTCCCGCTCCATCTTGATGAAGTGGTCCGGCTCCGGCTCGCAGCTGTCCCCTGAGCTCTGTCTCAGGATGATGTTAGGCAGCAGTGTGACCGCTTCAGTCTGGAGCTGTGCTTCATCCTCCAGACCTAACAAGCCCATCAGAGGGATCTTCAGTTCTCCAGTCCCTGGGCTCCAGTCCAGGAATATCTGTGCTTGTTCTTCATCATCCGGCTCGTCCTCACGGGCATCCACAGCATGTATTGTGTGTCCTTGTGTCCTGTACGGAGGTTCAAAAGCAGCCGGCAGCACGATGCCGTAATCTCCGTCCTCGCTGTGCTGCGGCTCAGAGTGCACACTGTCTGTGTCCTGCGGGTCAGCGAGCGCTGCATGCTGCTGCACGTAACACACCGGCGGATCAGCGCTCACAGCCCGAGCCGGTTCATCCGCCGCTGACGAGTCCTCAGCACACAGCAGCTGTGGCAGAGCCGCGGATTCATCTCCCAGCTTCATCACGTTAAAGATGACTGTTGCAGACATCTGAGGCTGGAAAGTGTGAAGATTTTCACTCGTGCCAACCACGTGCTGAAATAAGAAGAATTCAGTGTTATAAATGGATTGTGACAAGATGACATGCTATGACTCTCTCCCATCCTCGATGATCTATCCTGAAAGCTTTTTGTGCTAGTATTCATATCCATCTTTTCTTTACATACACCCATACTGTTCAAATGATTGAAGTTGGTAACATTGTTTCTGAAAGAAGTCTCTTCTGCTCGCCAAGGCTGCATTTATATGATTACAAAATACAGTAACATCAGTAAAATAGTGAAATATTATTACAATGTAAAACAGCTGTGTTCTGTGTGAATATCTGTTAAACTGTAATGTATTTCTGTGATGCGCAGCTGTATTTTCAGCATCATTACTCCAGTCTTCAGTGTCACATGATCTTCAGAAATCATTCTAATATGCTGATTTGCTGCTCAAGAAACATTTCTGATTATTATCGATGTGGAAACTGTGATACATTTTATTTTTCAGGATTCACAGATGAATTGAAAGTTCAAAACAGCAGCATTTATTAGAAATAGAAATATTTTGTAACATTATAAATACCTTATTTTTGTAGCTTTTGATCAACTGATGAATAAAAGTATTAATTTTTGTCAGAAAAAAAATCTTACAGACCCCAAACTTTTGAATAATAGTGTCTACCAGAAATTACTTGCATATTATTTTATACATTTTAAAATATTAATATTTTAATTAGTGCTGTCAAATGATTAATCGCATCCAAAATAAAAGTTTTTGTTTACATAATGTGTGTGTACTGTGCATATTTATTATGTATATATAAATACACACATGCATGCATATATTTAAGAAAAATATGTTATGTTTATATATTAAATATACTGTATTTATATATAATATAAATATATACATGTAAATATGTTCAAAATATATGCTGTATGTGTGTGTATTTATATATACATAATAAATATGCACAGTACACACACATATATTATGTAAACAAACGTTTATTTTGGATGCGATTAATCATTTGACAGCACTAATTTTTATATTTAATAATTAATATTTTTAATAATAACGTTATTATTAGTTGCATATTATGGTCCCACTTTATATTAAGTGGCCTTAACTACTATGTACTTACATTTAAATTAATAATTTGGTACAATGCACTTATTGTGTACATGTTTTTACATTGTACTTATATTTTAAAAATACCTGCATGTAATTACATCTGTAATTACATTTATAATTACACTGTTTAAACCTACCCATACCACCTAACCTGTCCCTAACCTTACCCGTATCCCACCTCAATAGCAGCAAAAGTGTTTTGCAATACAATATGAACACAAGTACTTATTTTTGATGTAAGTACATAGTAGTTAAGGCCACTTAATATAAAGTGGGACCCATATTATTATTATCATTACTTTTATTCAGCAAGGATACATTAAATTGATCAAAAGTGACAGTAAAGACATTTAAAACATATATTGTTTATATATGATCTTTTTAATCAAAAGGTGCCAGTGTGCCATTCTGTCTCGGCCAGACTGAATCCCTGCTAACTGGAGGTGTTCTAACTAAGCCAAAGTCAAATAAGCCCATCCTCAGTCCTCTGTGAGATCGCCATCTCTAAATATTGTGTTTGTTGCAGGTTTGTGCTCCAGCAGTGTGTGTTTGTTCTAATGCTGGTGTGCGTCAGTCATACCGTGCTCTTGGGCAGTCTCTGTCTGTGGTCGGTGATGTAGCAGTGGACGAGACCCCCGAGCACAGCGAGGACACACAGACAGAGCGCAGACGGCAGCACGCCGCCCAACATAGCAGCCAGCAGCTGCTCTCTGAATGGATCTACAGCGGAGAGAAAACCAGCATCAGCTCACACATTCACACGCAGAGGAGTGTCTGAAGACTCATGCATGAGGAAGTCCAGCTCAGAGCGCGCTGGGAAAACACCTCAGTTACAGTCAAGCATTACACACGACACGAGCTGATAAAGAGTTTAAACAGCAGCAAAGGTTTCCTCAACTCGTCCTGTCAGTTATGTCAATCAAATACTGCTCAAACCTGTTCGCCTGACGATCTGAAAGTGGAAAGACAAGAATGTGCCGTGGGCTGGCGGAGTTGGGTTTCTGTGTTACCTTTGGCCGTCTCGACGCACAGCCGATCGCTGGGTTTGTAGGCCAGAGGACGAGACTCCGACTGGGCCTGAACCACCACACACAACTGCGTGGAAAAGTCCAGAGGCCCCAGCGTCAAGTTCCCATTTTTAAGACGCATGTAGTTCTAGCAGAAAAACAAAATGCAAGGGAAATGACTTTCCTGTTTTAATTTGGCTGAGTAACCTAGTGCTTCTCAAACACTGACCGTGTGACTGCTCCTGCTGTTGAACACAGAGACGTTATAGATCATGTGTGGGAAGATCTTCCAGAGTGACTTGTCTTTCTTTGTCCTCTTCGTTCTCCATCTGAAGGGCCCCTTTATTGTGACGTCTATGTAGTTTTGCAGCACAGTCAGCTCCAGCAGCGGCGCGCCGAGGACCGCTGCGTGACAGAGATCGATTAGCTCAATAGCAGATAATGATTTGCTTTTAAGAGGGTCAGAGTTCCCTGCTGTTTACTCTGCTGCGATTACTGTAATCGCACATCAAGAGAAGCAGTATGCATGTTATTATAAAACGGATAGTTCCGGTGCTTGATTCTGATTGGCTGAGCCGTGTTCGAAGCTGTTGTAAATTACTCTATAAACACACACCTTTGTTTTCGTTTGTCTGTTGCTCGGCAACCACTTTGTTGCAACCACAACTGTTTCTGAGTTGTTCTGTCAATACTGTTTTTATTAATATCATTACACTTTATTTGCTCTGTTTTATTTTGTGAAACCTTACTACGTATGTGGAATAACCGTTTTATAAAAGCAATAATCCCCGTGAAGCCTCCGCTTCACATCGTGCCTAACAACGCCCCTTAGCGGTTATAAATTCACTGTAAACCACGGCTTTTTGGGGCTTACTGCTTTAATAAATGGCACAACAGAGTAGTCTGTGTGAATCAGAACAACTTAAACATGACACGATGAGTTCATTAACAGGTTTATGCTCCACCCCGGTGCAAAAGACAGTCCTGCTCCGGAAACGGCTGGAATATCTGCAGAGCTTTGTGATAAATCATGAGTCACAACATTTCAGAAGAACTATCCTGACAGGTTAAAGGGTGTTGCAGGGCTGGGCGTTGTTGCGGAATGAAGAAATATCTCTATAGCTCACTCTAAATTCATTGAGGAACACTTAATTTGTGTGTTTTATTTATTTGTGTTTTTATTTCCTAACATGACCCGGTTTACTTCCCTAATAAACTCCCTAGTGGTGAAGTTGATGGAATGAGTTCAGGGCTTGTAAAACAATGCTCAATCTTTGTTGAACACATCTTTGTTGGAAACTCTTCTGAAAGCTCAGATTTCTCTCTCTCACTGTTGTGAAGGCGTCTCAAATCTGAAACGGCCTAACAACACTTAGCAACTTCTCCACATATGGCATAATGTGCAGTCAGGCCATAATCACACAATAAACTTCGAACTCAAAAAAAAATTGAACTCAAGGTTTATTCTGTGATAATAACCAGCCGGTTGTCCTTGATCTCATTTATTACATGGAAAGATTGGTTCGAGGTTCAAATGGTTTTATACTTTTATTACACAAGAAGAACGGTGATGTGGAGTGTACAGGAAAACTGAATTGATCTACCTGTGTTTATTTTGCACTAATGACCGGCTGACTGTACGTTATCCTGCTTATTACACGGTTAGTTACTAAGCAAATGAATAAATAAATACAAATGGAAAAATGGTGAAATGGAAGCAGCAACAGATCTTTTCTTCCATATAGCGATGATTTTCGGAAATGAAAAAGGCGGGGGCTTGGTTCTATGCATCAGTTGTTGATTGGACGCTGGGATGTGGGCGTGGCTCTCAGATGAGCGTGAGCTTGCAGGGGCGGAGCTTGATGATTTGCCACAGACAGCGGTCAATAGTCAGAAATATCTGAATATGTTGTGTCATGTTTCATGTGCTATTTTATTACTGGCATCAACAACACAGTCAGACATGGATTTTAAATATAAAAATGAGCCAGAATCTCTATGTACAGTAATTATATATACCACTATATGTGACCCTGGAACACAAAACCAGTCTTAAGTGTCAATTTTTCGAGATTTTTTTTTAGATTTATACATCTGAAAGCTGAATAAATAAGCTTTCCATTGATGTATGGTTTGTTAGGATAGGACAATATTTGGCCGAGATACAACTATTTGAAAATCTGGAATCTGAGGGTGCAAAAAAATCTAAATATTGAGAAAATCATCTTTAAAGTTGTCCAAATGAAGTTCTTAGCAATGCATATTACTAATCAAAAATTAAGTTTTGATATATTTACGGTAGGAAATATGCAAAATATATGGAACATGATCTTTACTTAATATCCTAATGATTTTTGGCATAAAAGAAAAATCAATAATTTTGACCCATACAATGTATTGTTGGCTATTGCTACAAATATACCCCAGCGACTTAAGACTGCTTTTGTGCTCCAGGGTCACATATAGTCACTACAGTTATTGTTACTACAGCAACATTTCAGTAACTTGGCATTAGTGAGACAGAGATTGAGAAAGCTTTTACACAGTCTGAATGTGAAATGTTTTTATAGTAGGTTTACTAACAATGACTGCATTAACTATGGTATTTATGGTATCTATACTTGCTATGGTAAATAAGCGAGGGATTGAAATTGTCAAGACATTCACATACATACAGCAAATCAGTGTCAAGCTGATCATTATTCATCTTCATACTGCTATTCTCTATCTAGGCTTAAATAAACAACAAACTAACAAAACATCTATCCACACTCTCAGAAAAAAAGTGCAAAAACTGTTGCTTTAGGAGTACAATAGCTTGTCACTGGGGCAGTGCCCTCAAAGAGACACCTTTATCTTCTTTACCCCTGAAGGGTTCATAATAGTACCATAAGAGTACAAATCACTACCTTGAGGGTACATGTTACTACTGTAAGGTACTAATATGCACCCTTCAGGGGTCAAGAAAGTACTAAGGTGTCTCTTTAAAGGGGTCATATCATGCGATTTCAATTGTTCCTTTCTCTTTGGAGTGTTACAAGCTCTTGGTGCATAAAGAAGATCTGTAAAGTTGCAAAGACTAAAGTCTCAAATCCAAAGAGATATTCTTTATAAAAGTTAAGAGTCA